TTTTTATTCTATTAGTATGAATTAGTATTAGTGTTAGAGTACCTCTTATTATATGATATCGTACCCCTGGCAAATCCTTTACTTCACCACCACGTACAGTGGCTCAACATTCTTCATTGTAATCGCATTCAAACACCTATAATCGATGCACACACGCAACTCTCCCTCCTTTTTTAGGACAAATAAAACTGGTGCTCCGAAAGGAGACGAACTAGGCCTAATCCAACCCTTTTCGAGAAGTTTGTCTAGTTGCTTACGGAACTCCTCTAACTCCCTTGGGGAACATCCTGTAAACTGCACCCTTAGGAGTTCTACTTCCAGGCTCTATTTCGATTCAATGTTGGATTGGCCACGGTACTACTCCTGTTGGCGGCTCTGGCAAATCTTTGAACTCGTCCAGCAGCTTGGCAATGGCTGGGTCTATTGGTTCTCTTCAGTAGGCTCAATGACAGGCCTCACGTAAGCTACGAAGACCTGCTCTTCTAACTGCTCCTTCCTTACTAATTGCGCGAATGTGGGAGCACTGAGGCAGCAATGTGCCAGGGAGTTATCTACTCCTGACACATGGAACAGGCGAGCAGTCTTAACTCGCCTGATGGACTAGGGAGACTACACTCACGCTCTCTCAAATGGAGTGCGGCCCCTGCTGCCTCTCCCCAGTCCATACCTAGGACTATATCCAAAGGGAGGTTGTCCTCTACGAGGAGAGTCAGGGAATCGAGGACTTTCCCCACCTTGCTATCTTTCTCTACGCGAAGATACACCTGGACTCCCTCGACGTAATCCTCAACATGCATTGTGCGGTTGTCTGCGAGGATATTGACTATGGGGTCTTCCAACTTCTGGACTTTAAAACCTAGCCTCAACTTCTTTAGCGCTTTTCGGCTAATATAACTACGGGTAGCCCCTGTGTCTATAAGGTCCCCTACTCTGCTTCTAAAAACTTCTAAGTCTACTAACACAAGTTGTCCTTTGCTCTCCTTCTTCATCTTGGGCCAGAATGGCATCCTCTCCTTCAATTCTTCTGCCATACCTGTGAGGGAGGTGCCTAGAGGGACTCTAACACAGGCAGTCTCTGGACAGATAACTAGGCACTGGCCTGCAACCTCTGCCATCGGCTCATGTGGTGTGGGAGTTTCCTGGTGGTGCGCGCACACTTCCCCACATGGCCTAATGGTAATGGCAGTTGCAACCCTTACCGGCGGCTGCCTTTTGACCCCTGGGCAGCAAATCGGGCCTCTCTATACTTTGCACAATATTTAATAATATGGGCAGGGTCACCGCAATAGATGCACTGCCCCTGGTCTATTCGTTGTCGCCACACCCTCTGGCCCAAGCCCAGATCTTCCCAATGCCGCCCCTGTGGCCAACCTGGGTGCCAACCTCCTCTTCGTTGAGGAGATCCTCCGCCTCTAAGTTGTGGTGATTGACCAGGCCCCGAACGATTCGGCCGGGGACCTTGACCCCTACCTCCCTCTTGGCGGTTCCTTTGGCCGCCACCCCCCTGTGCGCCCGGACCTTGACCACCCATGGCCCGGCCCCCTTGGCCCTGGCCTCCTACTCTACTTTGTGGCCTCCCTCCAGCTGCGACAACAGCGTAGGTCCTCCCTTGACCCACACTATTGTCTTCCTCCTGTAGGGGACTGCATCGGTACCACCCTCGTCTAAAGTAAAAAATCAGGTGATCCTTGGTCCTGACCTGACCAGAGATGGTACGACCCTTCCACTTTTTCCCCTTATCTAAATCCTTATGACAGAAAGTGTACACTGGCATGGATTTGGCCTCAAACAGGACCAGTTGTCTACTTAACGCGTTGTACGTGATGGTGGTCTGTTGGGTCTTCTCAAAGAAATGCCCTCGTAAGGGCTCTGGCATGACACGATAAAATAAATTAACTAACTAGGTTTCTGTGACCCCCTGGTCAGGGATGGCTACTAGATCATCCATAACTACTTTGAGTGCCCTTGCACTCTTCCACTGCCGCGAGTGGATCGTTTGCAGTTTATCAGAGGCCCTGACGCCTCGTGTGATGTCTGTGAATCTCTCTCTAAGGAGTTTAAGGAATTTGTGAAGAGGGGTGAGTTCAGAATACGCAACCATATGGTTTTCACAATCGGCTGCTCGCACGAGGGACCTGGCAAAACTACTCGCTTCGTCCTTTAAAGCATGGAAGGCTACTAGGACTTGTTCCTCAGGCACAATGTGCTGGAGATACACGTAGGTATTAATACTGGACTCCCAATTGTCAAAGTTGTCGTCCTTCTTCCCGCCATAAGAACCAGGAAACTTAAGCTTAACGGGCTCTTTGCGGGGACGCACTTCAATCTCTGCAGCGGCCTCTACTTTGACGCCCTCGATGGCGCCTGCGCATGATTTCTTTGCGCCCTCCTTTAACTTTCTAACCTCGGTCCCTATATGTGTCATCACATCTCGTGTCATCACATCTCGCACGAATTCTCTGAAACCAGACCGGATAGAGTGGAGGGCCATGTCTTGGCCCCTAACAAACTGATGGTGCTCAGTCCAGGCCCTACCTAAGAGCTCAATGCTCCCAATGATCTTGTCCCTGAATATCAGGCTGGGCCTCTACTTCATGTCTACATGTTTGTAAACTTTCCACTTCTCTAGCCACCCGGTTGGCTTCCTCCATCCTCCTCTTTTTCTCCCTCGCCAGGCGCAACTTCCAGTCCAACGTCTTCTCGTTTTCTATTGCCTGGCACTCTAGGGGACCACTCGTCGCTTCGATCTCCCTAATCGCTGTTTTCTTCTCCTCCTGAGGTATATATAGCATCGCCTCCTCATCTTCTCCTAACGATAAATTAGCCACCCACTCAGATATCCTCTTCTCTACCCACGGGTCATCTTCCTTCATGCCACTGCCCTCTCCTCTTTCCCCCATGATTCTTCTTATGAGGGGCTCTTCTTTTGGCGCCTCCTCCTCTTCAATCTCTTCCTCTACTACAGTCTTCATTCTCCCTTCCTCCTCTTGCTGCAATCTCTTCATCTCCTCCTCTAACTTCTTTTTCTTCGCCGCCTGCTCCTCTGCTATCATCTTCACCTTCGCCTGTCTAAGGAGATCCTTCTTCTCCTTTCTCTCCCTTAGGATGGCGACAATTTGATCCTCTTGAGCCTTGCTATAGGATGTGGTGCTCTTCCCACAGTGAAGGTCAACCATGGTGCTAGGTGCACAACCGAACAACAGTTCCAAACCTCACCACTTAGACCTCGGCACCTGACTGACTGGACCTAGGACTCAATCTAAGGACCACGCAATCCAGGTAGGATCCTGTCAACTAGGGTCTCTAGCCTAATCCTACTCTAAGGCTGTCACTACAGGAATTATTGCTGATCAGGAGGCATTTAAGGAGATCCCCCGTAACTCCTCAGGAATTATTTAACATCGCAGATAGGACGACGCGATCAGCAAGCCCTCTCAAGACTTAGACAGCCCGTTGTGCAGCCCACAGCTCGGATTTTGGGCCTACCGTGCCACACCGAGCAGCCCGCCGGTCAGTACCGGTCCTTGGGAGGGTTCGTGTCCTCCGGGTTAGTCGAGTCGTCAGACACGGCCTTTGGCCCTACTCAGCCCGTGTAGGTTTGGTCAACAAGGCTCTATCCTTCATACATGGAGTTCCTACCACCTAGACAGAAGAGACTCAATGCAGAAAGAAGAGACAGACAAACTCAACCGGTACCATAGGGTGAGTGCACATCCATAGGGCGAAGGGATAAGCTGAGCGTTTGGCGAGAATATACCAGCTCCAACTTGGTCAGAATCGTGGTCAGCAACCCCGGTCAACGTCTTGGTCAACGTTTGGTCAACGTTGTTCAAACCCTCGATCAACGCTCCAGTCAACCCTGGTCAACGCCTGAGTCAACGCCCAAAGCAACGTCGGTCAACCCCTAGGTCAACACCTTGGTCAACCTTCAACTCGGCTATGGCTGCCGACACTTTCTCTCCCTCACGCCCTCACTTCTCTTTCCCCTTCCTTTCTTCGTCCTTGCTTTTTTTTCTCTCCTCACACTGGCTATATCTTTCCTTCCTCTTCGTCGTCCCTCCTTCCTCTTCGTCGTCCCTCCTTCCTCTTCCTCAGCTACGACTTCTTCTCACTTCTCGGTCTCTCCCTCCTTTCTCATTCGTCTTCCTCCCTCCTTTACTCGTCTTTTTTCTTCTTCTCCATGTCCGAGCTCTACGGCTATGGTCGCCTTCTTCTTCCTTGGACCGCACAACCATACCACGAGCCTGCAAAGTCAGTCTCAGTTTCTACTCAGTAGCCCCCAAACGAGGAAAGACAATGGTCCAGGACACAACCCATAGAAAGAGACTTCATAGCCAAGGTACTCAAAAAAGGATGCCGCTTAAGAGCTTACATCGTACAGTGCTAGTCAACACAGATACACAACAGTACAAGACCAATTAAAATAGTCAGGGTTTAGGACCTTACGGATTCTTACCACCCCGAGGAACAGCCAAAAGATAAGGCCACGAGAGAGACCAGCAAAGAAGGTTAACACACCACACCAGCAGTTCTAGCAAGTATTGCCAATCAGGCGGCCCATTTGACCGAGAGGAGCAGGTCGTGGTGACCAGACGAGCCCAGCAAAAGTATTCGGAATAAGCACCAAGGACAGCAACAGTTTTGAATAGGCTAACTTGGGCAGGGGTGAAGTTCAGTACATCCTTCCTCAAATCAATGTTGGCTTCTGGGCTTCCACACCAGAAGGGGGAGGAGTGTGCGTGAGTATCCATTGTAAATCTCTGAGTTGCCAGGGGAATAGGAACCGGACTGATGCTCCCCAGAATGTAAAAGGAGCCGGAACCCTAAGGTTCTGTTCAATTTTTTTAAAACAAAAAGGAATAACGACTCCAAAATAAGCCAACACATCAAGATCTCTATGATCTCCAGTATGCAGAGGATGGGGTGGACGGAGAGAGAAGCGAGAGAGAGGGATGGGGGGGGAGAGAGAGAGGTAGAGAGAATTCCTTTGGGAGAATCACCTGTATTCCCTGAGATAGATACATCAGGCCTCCACATTCTGCATAAATGATGCCTCCAACCGTTGCGAAGGCCCGAACAGCGTACATCAAGCGCGTATTCTGTGACAGCTCCTCTGCATGAAGCTCAGGATATCCCCCACCGAAGTAGATTGCATCAAGCTGCCCAGGAAGTGGATCCTTCAAAGGTGAGAAAAAGACAAGCTCAGCCCCAGCATCTGACAAAAGAGTCAAAGAATACAAAACAAACAAACGAACATATACGTCACTGTCAAGACTGTACTTGATAAAAAACACAGGTGGCTGTGTGACAGGATAAAGCTTCAGAAGATAGCGAAGACAGTCCTATTGTAAAGCAGGGGTAGAGCATTGCTAAATCCTCCAAATTTGGGTAGTAATCAATGCCGCTGTCCTAGAGGATCTCTCGACCGTAATGGGGAGAAGCGTCGAGTGAGTACTTCTGATATAAGGGACGCTGGACTCAATTTCCAGCATTTTTAATACAAAAACAGATTCCCAAAAAAAAAAAGGATTGAGATTCACCAACAGTGACGCACCACGATACAAAGTACTCTCTGAGCACAAGTCACCATGCAGAACGGCTGAACCACTATCATAAGTTGTGCAGTGAAGGCAACAAGGCCATGTGGCTGAATAATGCTCGCATGCAGAGTCATGAAAATTTTAACGGAATCAGATGTTCAGAGCTACACCGTTTAAGAAAGAACGGAAAAAAGAGTTGCCTGGCAAATCTACATTGATTCTCTTAAAAGTTAAAACTTAATTTACCGGCTCACAAACGGCAGCTTCTGCAATGTTAGAGGGAGTCCGAAATGGAGTCCACAATGTCATGTAAACACTGAGTTCTGCTTTTGAAGCAGTCCCAAGAGCCGGCAGATTCTGCAATGTTAGAGGGAGTCCGAAATGGAGTCTACAATGTCATGTAAACACTGAGTTCTGCTTTTGAAGCAGCCCCAAGTTCTCTTCCCACTTGATTCTCTTCAAACCCACCAAACCTATCCGCTTCTATGAGCCATCACCTCATCCTGTGGGGATAGCCGAAGAACCCAGGTAAGACCACCCAGCAGATGTGGCTGACTGGTACACATGTAACTCTTGATGAGCAGATCATGAGTTCAAATCCTGAGGTAAAGAGAAAAATAAAAGGCAAGATTTATACCAGTCACCTATGCTATGTCCGACACTTGATTGCACTTACTGTGGAATGATCACATGCCGCTTTGATCCATTTGCTTGATAAATGGCTTGCACACAGAAGGCTAAACTAAGACTCTACCAAGACCCAAGCCGCAAAGATCAAGCATCTCAAGCGCACTAATAGCGTGCACAGGTTTGTGTGTCCCGAGGAAGAAGGAAGAGGAAGGAATCCACGCCTCCCAACTATGAGAGCCATTTCAGCATACCAAACAGCATACAACCCTCCCCTTCTTATCGGAGGAAACCATGTTTCAGGTTTTCGGAATTAGACAGTGGTTGAGTAGACAAGCATTTGTCGCCTTGCCCTATCAGATATCACCCAATCCCTTATCATGTGGGCAGGGCTGTGGTGGGTCCTACCAATGGAACAAAAATGTTTCAGAAGGGAACAAAAGGAATCAGCAGTAACATTACATTTATTCTGTTACATCATGTCTATTGCCGATTTACATCAAGAAGGGTCCCTCAAACTTGCTTAACATTGAACTCCATTGAAGTCCATTAGAACAAGTTTTCATGCCCGCCACTAGCAAGAACATTTGCTTGCTCTTCTCTGTTGAATTCAACTAAAACCACCACAAAGCAAGTACTGTGCATATCAGAAATCGAAAACCATATAACTCGTACAGAGAGCATCCACGACTCTAGCTCAAAAAAACAGGCAAGATCCCCCAAGGATCTAAGTCTACACAGTCTGGGCCGAGGATGCTGTTAATTCGTGGTCAGTCTAGGATTTGGGGCTTTAGCAAGGCCAGCCCTGAAAAGGTTAAGAGGGGTGATGCTTCATACTACTCTAGTTGTCTAAGTAAACCTGACAGCCCAACAGCTGAGAGGAGTAAGTACGAGACAGGGCCACTAGGGTTTAGGGTTTTAGCAAAATGTCAGTAAGTAGCCAAGATAGCAGCCCCACTATTTCAGGTAAATCTGACAGGCAAATCTGACAGGCAAGTAGCTGCTATGGCTCTCATAAGTAAGTTACAAAAACAGAGATAATAGTAGCCAGGTTAGCAACCATAATCAAAAGTAAGTCATGCAGGCTAGGCAGGTTAGCAACCATAATCAAAAGTAAGTCATGCAGGCTAACTTAGGCAGGGGTGAGGGGTGGTACAATGGTGTCACTTGGGGGTCTCAACCGTAATGGGGAGGAGCGTGTGTGAGTATTCGTAATCCTTTTGACTTGCCAGTGGAATAGGAACCAGAATTAGGCGCCCCAGAATGGGAAGGAGCCAGAGCCACAAGGTTCTGTTTTTCCCCACCCCCCCTTAAACAAAAAGAAAACCAAATGAGCAGTACAGGAAAAGAAGTGGAGGTAACGAGTCACACATGAGAGGGAAAGAAGAGGAGGTAACGAGTCACACAGAAGAGGGAACAGTGAGAGAGATGGAGAGAGAGGTGTCTTAATAAAGAGAACAATGGACATGTCAAACCCTAGCCTACCTTCAAGGAGAGCAAGGTTTTCATGGTAATAGAAGCAGAAGGCGGCATCCTTTGCAACACCTATCCGCACACTACGCCTTTGGCTGTTAAGAGCACCAACAGTCTGTTGGTGGGTTTGCAAGGTGATCATCTGCTGCTGGGGCTGCTGGGGCTGCTCATGATGATTATGATGATTATGATGATGATTCTGGGAAGGGTCATGGTGATGAACATGATTTTGATGATGATGATGATGATGATGATAAGAATTTGGCACTGGCGGAAGAGCACGGAGTCCCTGATCAGTTGCCGCGAGCTGAAGGATTGCATCCAGGTCCACATGAAGCTCCATCAGGTCAGCCAGCCGTGCTATGTAGTCTGCAGATATGCCCTGGTCGTCAGGCATATGGAGGCCCAAATGCCGCTCAGGAATGTTGATACCCGGTGTTCTTGGCACGCCACCCAGCACTGTCACACCAACGTTCGCTCCCTCTACCGCCTCTCGAAGCCATGCACTGTGAGCAGGACCACCTACCTGCACGTCCATGAAAACAAACCACAAAACGCTCTTTCAGGACAGCAGAGTGTCTTTTCAATGACGCGGACCAGGCACCATACCTCGCTGTGTCAAAAATCTGCTGCCTACACATGAATTCAAGACAAACCGCAAAACACTCTTCAGAAGAGTAGAACTCTCTTGTCGATGTCCTTCCCGACATTCGTTAAAAATTGGGACGGTACAGAGAAAGATTAGTATGGCCCCTGAGAAAGGATGACACACATAGGTTGAGAAATGCTCCGAATTATTGGAAAAGTCTGAATTTCGGCGAAAAACAGAAAAAAAAAAACACTCTCCTTTCAACAGCAGGACGGTTATCGCTGCTCTTTGAACAACCAGCGTAATTCACTGTGGCAGAGTTTGCGGCATGTGCTATCTGGGAGGTAGGTTGCTTGGTACCTCGCTACTTCTTTTCTTTTTTTTTTCCAAAAGCATGGGCCCCTTCTATTGTGGGGGCCATCAGTACGGTCGCTCATCACCCGTGAGAGAAGGGGATAGCCCAATACCCCCCGCCGCCCGAGACACTCTGCGGGGGGAGCTGAATGGGGCGCCCCCATGGTAACCATCCGCATACCCTCTTCACGGGGGCACATAATGGCCGGGAAATGGATCTACGTACCCAGACTCCCATTACACGTGCCACGGGAGGGGGAAGCCCCAGTCCCATGGGGTGCCTATCCGGTCGCCACGCCTTGGAATCGTTCCTCGTATGTCCCAGCTCTCATACACCCCTCATTTTAATTCACCAGTTCCCCTGCTTTTCTGATACCATCACCTTTCTCCCCTTCTTTACCTATGCCATCCCTTATCTCCTCATTCTTACCCATACTTCCTAAACCTCACAATGCTTCCTACATTCATTTAGTTCTGGAGCCCCCAAGCCTATAGCTGATCCATGGTCCTTGTGGGATCCTCTTACATTTCCCTTATGCACCATATCTCCCAACGATCCAGTTTATTATTAGCCTGTGCGACCCCGCCCATTTCTACCTCAGCTGGCATTCATCCCTGCTACCCTATTACACCCCTCATTTCAATTCACCAGTTCCCCTGCCTTTCTGATACCATCACCTTTCTCCCCTTCTTTACCTATGCCATCCCTTATCTCCTCATTCTTACCCATACTTCCTAAGCCTCACAATGCTTCCTACATTCATTCTAGTTCTGGAGGCCCCAAGCCTATAGCTGATCCATGGTCCTTGTGGGATCCTCTTACATTTCCCTTATGCACCACTTCTCCCAACGATCCAGTTTATTGTTAGCCTGTGCCACCCCGCCCATTTCTACCTCGGCTGGCATTCATCCCTTGCTACCCTATTAAGGTTACACCTACGCCGGCCATCTAACCTAGCTAACGGACCCAGGTCAGTCTACTGTAAACTACCGCCGAGAGTCTACCCAATCTCCCTGCATAGTAGTTCTCGAGGTCTGTTCTTTGGTAGGGTAGCGCCACATGTCAGGGCACCTGTGGTATAATTTCTTGTAGCGCGGATATTGAGAAAACAGTGAGTGGCGACACTTCGATGTTCAGGGTGAGATCCTGGGTAGAGGAGTAGACTTGACTTTGTGTCTGGGCAGACCCACCATGGCTGTGTCATCTTCGTTTCATGTTTTGAGCTTGGATTAGCGTGTGTGCGGTGTCCCGGGAAATGATTCTGAATTGTTCAAGAACTGTGTGGTGATTTCTTTGAAGAAGGAAAATTTGTTTTTCATGTGTTTGGTGCGACTCCCATATCTGCACACATGTATGGACATGGATGAGGCATGAGCGAAAGTCTCCTTGCCAGTGGCTTTGTTTCTTGTCCCCCACTTGCCCCTTCTTCCACGTTTATCTTTCCTTTGTGTTCCTCCTGCGAGGATCTGGGTCCTCAGCAGGCCTAAGGGGCCCCGGTTGCAGTGGTGCCCGCCCTAAGTGAAGGCGGGCCTAACTTATCACAAGAGGCCTTTGACTGTCAATTTCATATTTGGGGTCCAGGCAGTTGCGACACGCCAGTTAGTTGAGTGAAACACAGGCCGAGCAACCAAGACATTTCCACGGCCTTCTGGGCCTCTCCGAARCATGCAGGCCCTGGACGAGAAACRCAGCCTCATACACTKACAGTTGGGAGGCCCAACCGAAAGAGGCCCAGTAGCTGCAAAGTAGCACGCAGCATCCTGGGGCCTACCGGAAGCTTCTGGGCCCAGGCCAAGTCCAGCCAGGCTGCGAAGCAGGCAGGCTCTTTCCATATAGGAAAGAGCTCGCCACTCTCAGCCTCATTCAGGCACTCGCATGCTAGCGGCAGCGCTGCTGGAGCAAAGGGTCGTGGGCTGCTGCTGGCGCTAAGAGGCGAGGTGCAGCACGTGCAGTCGTGCAGGGAAGAAGGGCGCTGCTGAGGGCAGCGCCATAGCCCAGCCACCATAGCTGGTGGGCTTGGACTAGAGTGAGGCGCATGAGTGGTCTTCCGGTGTGAGGGAGGAAGACGTGGGTGTAAAGTCAGGGAAGGGTGAAGGATGATGATGATGATGATGTGAGGGCACATACCTTGTATTGGCGATGGTCTGCATTTGGGCGACATCTTCAAGTACTTCGGGTTGCCGCTGATGTCAACAGTTGCATTGTCAATTAGTAGGCTGATCGTAGCTGTGTAGGAGTAGGCTGGGCGCTGAGCGCCAAGTAGGAGTGTGAAGGGACTGGACTCTTGTGTTGTTGGCGGAGAGAGAAAGCTCTCCTTGACATTGGTTTTCAGTACTACGAACCTCCATTGGTGTATTATTGGCGCAATGCTGCTCTCTGGACACGGTGTGACTATCTGGCTTTCAATGTGACGGTGTTATCTGAAATTGTCATCTCGCTGTTGCTCATTTTCCTTGAAATTTGGTATCGGAGCTGGTTCATATTGCGCTTCATTGGTTCTTCGCAATAGCTGTTCGGTGCTTCGCATGAGGTGCGGGGCAGTGATAAGGCTTGGGCGTTGAACGTAGGGCGGCCCAGGGTCGTGTGGGCGCACCAGGAAGCCATGTGGTGACATACGGGTTGTATGCTGGATGATGACAGCTCGCTGATGTGGCATATTAAGCCGAGGTGGAACTGCATTCTGCTGTTGGTTGTCCCGAGGCAAAGACCGGTCATCATAAATGCACATCAGGTTGCCGGTGAGAAATCTGTGGTTGGGGGCAGCATTATGAGGTACGTTGCTCTCATCCTTATCTACCCTCTTCATTACTTCTTACCGTGAGGAAGTGAGTCTTGTCTTGAGAGTCCTCTTGTGAGGTGTCGCGAGCGCTCAACCTTGAGAGTCGACATTCTTCCTGGGCAGCAAGCTGGTGGGAGACGGGCGAAGCCTCTGAAGGGCCCTGGACGAAGCACTCGGGTCATGGTCACCATGCCAACCCGCTGGGACTAGTACATGCATGCTTTGCCGCAAGTCCTTGGTTCTGCTGCTTGCACAATAGAGGTCATGCAGGGCATGCCAGCCCTTTGAACAGACGCTTACCAGACCGTCTTTAAATATTTCTGGCAGGGACTCGATGTTGACTCTGGCTGTGATCGGCGTCCTATCTGCGACGTTAAATAATTCCTGAGGAGTTACGGGGGATCTCCTTAAATGCCTCCTGATCAGCCAGATCAAACTGGGTGTAAGGCTCATTGCATGCGAGGGTAAATAATGTGCAGGGGCTGGCAGGTTCGGCGTTGACTTGGGGCACAGGGGCGGGCTGGATTGCACACCTTCAGACACGCTGCTCAACCAGATGCTCAGGGCGTTGACACAAAGTGACAACTCAAGAAAGATACAGGGGAAGGGGGGATTCCGGTAACTGTTCACAGTGGCAATCATTAGACAATCTGCCATCCAGTATACATCTAGACAATCTGCCATCCAGTATACATCTCCAACAGGAGATATTATTTTTATTTTTGATTATTTAGTTGTTACAGACTTGACTAACAACTGATAGACAGCTGCAGACAGATCAGTTCTTTGCTGCACTGCAATCTGTTCTAGAGTAATCTAAAAATAGATGTGATATTTCCTGTAGGACCTGACATTAGTTGTTACTACATCACCTAACTGTTTCTGTTCAGGCCGACCGAAATTAGTCGTTATTTGTACTCGGTTGTGTGTCAGGCTAAGGTAGGATTCAGTGTGGATTCTAGTTTAGATCACACACACTGTATTCATGAGTGATGCAAGCACTAGTGAGCAGGAGTTGTTAGTGGACGACCGTAGGACTACTCGTAGAACTGCTCGTAGTCGACCCTTGACTTTCCTAGAGCTAGGTCCAGGAGACGAGAGGAGACTGCGGAGAGAGGCTAGAGAGAGAGCAGCGGCAAGAAGAGTGAGGGTGGCTGAGGATAGCGCCAGGTCTAGAACTATAGCTAGTACCGGTACTACCATGGCTACTTCCTCTACCGTGCCGCAGGCTTCTTCACAGGCCATTTCCTCAGGAGTTGGTCAGAGTGGTTTTCAGGGGTCCATTAGCCAGAGTGCTGGCTTGCGAGTCAGCCAGCAGACTCAACTCATGCCAGAGGATTATGAAATCCTCCAAGCAGAAGAACTTCAAGATGAGCTACAGCGGCAATTGGATGAGGCAGCAGAGAGGAGAAGAAAAGCAATCATGAGAAAAGCTAGACTAGGCAGTAGATTGCAGGAGTTAAGCAGATTAGAAGCACCAGATGAGTCAACACTTAACCCTGCGATACGAGCACTGCGCAACTCGCTCCAGTGTGTTGCGGAGACGCAGGTAGTTCAGCAGGAGGTGTTGGTTGAACTAGTGGCAGGCCAGAAATGAATTCTGGCTGCATTGCAGGCTCCTCATCCATTGATGGGGCACCCTCAGTTTGCTATAGCTCCCAATTCGGTTGTGGGTCCATCAGGGACGCTGCCGTCGGTAGGGCCTTCTTTCTCGCCTATGTATGGCATGCCCCCTCTAGGTGGTTTTGTAGCAACTAGTGGTCCGGTTCATAGAGTCTCAGCCATACCATCGACGACAGTGGTTACTACAGTCCCACTGTCAAGTCAGGCCCAGGTTAGTGTGCAGCAACCTGTTTCGGTGGCTATGCAGCCGCTGCAGCAAGCCCCTGGGCCCATGCAGCCTATGCAATGGATGCCGAAAATACCCTTGCTGAGTCCTAAGCCCTTCTCCGGCGACAGGAAGAAGGACGAGGATTTGGATGCCTGGGTAAGGACGGTGCCTATCTATGTAAGGCACAAACTTACCAGGCCAGAGCAAGAAGTTGTTGTGGCTGCCTCCTTTTTAGAGGGGTCAGCAGTCCGTTGGTTGAATGGCCTAGTGCAGCAGGAGGGCTACAGTCAGAACTTCAATGCTTGGGCCCAGGCCCAGACATTGGAAGAGTTCGTATAGTACAGGCGGCATGACCCTCAAGGGGCTCAAAAGGCTACCGATGCAATCAAACAGTCTTTGTGCTAGAAGGTACAAGAATGTTCGTGAGCTAACGGACATTGTAGAACGTCTGGTCATGGTACCTGGCGTGCGCTATGACCAGCAGGTACTCCTCACGGATTACCTTAGATGTCTACCATCAGAGGTAAGGACAAAGCTGGTAGACGAGGCCTATGTCGATCAGCACAACTTCGCTTCATTCAGCAAGAAGGCCTTAGACATAGAGGCAAAGTTGGGATCTGTGCATCAGAGTCAGGGCGATGGTAGGAAGAAGAGACTACCCCAGGACTGGAAGACGAAAGGTCAACTAATGTCCGTCGGCCACGATGGTCAAACGACAGAAATTGACGACTTCCCAGACCTTGGGGAGGAGACAGAGCATGATGGGGCCAGTGAGACTTCAGATGGGGGAGTCGTGGCACCTATCAAGGAAAAGGCTAGGGAGACCGGGAAGAAAAAGGTAGTACGGTCCACGGGTCAGGGCGACCAAGGAACACCCCCATGGGTAAAACTTGGTTTAGAGTATGAGGTGTGGAGGGACCGAGTCGCTAGGGGCACCTGCATGAACTGTGGCAATTATGGCCACATGTCCCGAATGTGCCGAGGCAAAAAGGTCCTGACGAGGGTAGCCTCACCAACGGTGGTGGGACTATCTTCGAACTCTGGCGGTGCTTCTGCGAGCACTTCGCAGGAAAACACCTCGGGCCAGTAGGCGTTTTAGCCACTCTTACTTGCGCTGAAGGGGTAACGTTGCCTTCCCCACTTCAGGCGTTGGCCAAGGCTAGTGACCCACGTATCGCCCCGCAGACCCATTCAGACCCACCGACGCTCCGTTCGAGAGATGTATCTGAGGCCCTAGAAAAGTTAGAGACTGAGTGGTCAGGGAAGGACCCCAGGGACTCTTGGGCGATGATCAGTAGAGGTCCAAAGGGTGAACATTTCGTGGTAGAGGTTGATGTAGGTGGCCGCAAAGTTCGACTCTTGTGTTGTTGGCAGAGAGAGAAAGCTCTCCTTGACATTGGTTTTCAGTACTACGAACCTCCATTGGTGTATTATTGGTGCAATGCTGCTCTCTAGACAAGGTGTGACTATCTGGCTTTCAATGCGATGATGTTATCTGAAATTGTCATCTGGCTGTTGCTCGTTTTCCTTGCACTCCTCTTTCAGTCTCTTTTTCTCCCCTTTCTTCTGCTCTTCCTCCTTTCCTTCTTCCTCTTTCTCTTCTTCCTTATTTTTCGCTTCCCTTTTCGTCTTCGCAACTACTCTCTTTCTAATCTGTATATCTAGGGTCCCCTGGCTCATGCATGATCATGTTATCCCACAGTATCTTCACGTTCATAGCGGCTCATGCAGGAAAATCGCTGCGGGGACAGGAAATGGAATAGTGGCCGGAGGATAGAGAGGGTGATGCATGCAAACATCAGGTAGTCACCCATAGCGTTAAGTAGCACAGCAACCTGTCAATGGCAGGACTATTCCACCACCTCTAGCCACTTAGACTAACAATTCCGACTCTCACAATTCTAATTCTTACCTAAAATTTATTGAATTTACCTGGATTGCAGTTACTCGACACTTACTACAGTCATCTGACTGGTAAAAGAGACTAGGGACCTGGCCCGTGTTTCCTGGAAAAGAAGGGTGTGTCACAAAGATAAGGACGAGTAGATATCCTACAGATCCTGAGAACAGAAATGAAAACACAAGCTGCATATTCAGGGATGCACTGTTAGCAAAGATAGGAAGGAGACCACTAGAATGTGGTTCCTGCTTCTGTCTCCATAGAATGCCCACAAGATAAACCTAGCTTGACAAGACAGGCCAGCAAGGAAGGTAGCGATGACAGCAAGGAAACAAGCAGCAGGATGAAAGTGCGCTTGTCTTATACACAGCAGCCAGCAGGAGGAGAATGGAATGGGAGAGGAGGGGGAGAAAAGGGTGTGACTGGACAGGAAGAGAGCAATCTACACCAACCCACCCACCTTGTTGAAAACAACACCCGCAAATGAAAGGTCCCGATCAAACGTTGTGAATCCATGAATCATTGCAGCCGCGCTACGGGCAAGAGCCCAACAATCCAACACCAGGACAACCGGTGCACCAAGAAACTTTGCCATCTCCGACGTACTTCCTCGTTCACTTTTTCCATCTCTACCATCAAAGAGTCCCATAACTCCTTCCACAATGGCAATGTCTGTGTCACGAGCACATCTTTTGAAACTGGCAACATTTGCCTCCCTGTCCTTGGTCACAGATTCATGCAAACAGCAAAACACGTGATCGCCAGAAGTCATTCTTTATGAAATGAAAAAAGAAAGAAAGAATGAAAGAAAGCCAGAGAGGGGGAAGCGAATTAAAAAACAGGGAGTATAGCTTCTAACACAACTGAATAGATAAGAATTCCGTTAAACTCATAGCCTGTAAATCAACAGCTCTAGGCATGCACAACATTCATCAACCAGCTAACGTCTTCCACTGAATAGAAGACAGTGTCATTACTCCACTAGGTGTTATTCTTTCTGAGCTCTTCTTCGGGGACCATTTCCACTGTGCACATCACAGGGCCAAAGCAATCATCATTTCCGAATCATTCCAGTTCTCAGTACTCCAAAAAATATCAAATCTTGTTCCTTTCTGAATTGTTATTCAAGAGTGGGAAAGCGGCCTGGGGTGGAGGATGGAGGGGAGGGGGAGGGGGAGGGGAATGCCATTCCAGTTCTCAGTACTCCAAAAAGTACCAAATTTTGTTCCTTTCTGAATTGTTATTCAAGAGTGGGAAAGCGACCTCGGGTGCGGGATGGAGAGGAGGGGGAGGGAAATGCCAGGTGGCAATCTATAGACAAGTTCGGATTACGGCACGCACGTGTGCCACAAACCCAGCAGCTCATCATTGACCCTCTATGAGAATTAGTATGCTTTTAAGAGAACGTCACCCACACATCTGAATCAATCTTCAGAAGCTCACAATCAAATCACACATGCAGTCATGCGGCTGCCTGTGCGAAGAGGAAGAGCAGGAGTGTGGAAATATCTTTAAAATTACAAGTCGAGCCCCCGCAGCTACGCTGCGGCGCAGAGGAGGATGCATTGAAACGAAACAATAGAAGTAATATTTCAAATAACTTAAATGAAATCAATCGGAAGATTCTCAACCATTATTATTGCACTTACATCTGAATTTTTGGGTTCGTTTTTTTTTCCCTTTTTTTTTTCTGGGACATTCGTTGATCCTTACACAGGCTGCTGATTCGGGATTGAGATACCGTTATCCCGATCCCGATCACGGCTGATCTTCCGTGATTTGCATATTGTCAGCCACTGCTATTCCGATCCTAATGACGAGAACCTTCCCTTCTTCCTGCTCGGCCTGGCTAATGAATCTCTAAAGAAGCATACGTGTGTCAGCTTTGCCATTTCCATTGATATTCCGATTCCCCCAATACTCTTCCGATGCTCTCCCACTACTACGGAGATTCCCCCACTGTTGTGTTGATCCCGATTGGTCCCTCAGCACAGATGATACGCATACATCGAGAAATACTATAAAAAAAAAAAAACTCCCTCTTCCTTTCGCTCTCCCAAAAGCGAAGCCCAAATCGTTCGACGAAAAGTGAATGGATGAGAGATTGGAGAATGGCGGGGGTTGGGGGGAGTGGAGAAGCAGGAGGAAGCGGTTGAAAAGGACAATGACAGGAGAGGGGGAGTCTGACGTGGACGCTGGAAAACGACGATCAAGGTAATGATGATGATGATCAGGCATACGACAGGAGGAGGGAAGAGGAGAAGAGGAGGATGCACGCAAGAGGTGACTGAAGCAAGGAGTAGCGGGAGGAAGAGCAGCGGGGGTGGAAGGAGGAGCGGGAGCAGGGCGATGAGGAGAGGAGAGGGAATGGCAAGAGGAGGACCAGGAAAAGGAGGATTGGGAGCGGGAGGAAGAGGAGGAGGAGGAGGAGGAGGAGACGAGGAAGCGGATAAAGCGGAGAAAGTGTAGGAGGAGGAGGATAGAGGGAAGACGAGATCATAGCAAGGAATAGAGGAGAAGTGGGGGGAGGAAAAAGAGGAGCGGGGGACGAGGAGGAGAGACAGTGGCAGAAAGGGCGGGAGTGGCAGTGGGAGCTGGAAGAGTGGGAATGGCAGGAGAATCGGGAAGAGGAGGAACGGGAGGCAGAGCGGGAGGAGGAAGATGAGGAGGAAGAGGTGAAGAAGCGGAGGAAGTGGAGAAGGCGGAGGAAGTGAAGGAGGAGAAGGAGGAAGAGCAAGAGGAGCAGGAGGCGGGATGAAATATCCCCGACAGTTCACATGGTAGAAAGAATATTAGCATGGCCCCTGAGCAAGGATGACATGCATAAATGGTGAGATGGTCGTAATTAAGAAAATAAAAAAAAGGTCGAGCATGAGGACGATGAGGACGAGGAGACGCTGAGGAAGCGGAGGACGCAGAGGAAGTGGAGAAAGCGGAGGAGGTGGAGGACATGGAAAAAGCAGAGGAGGAGGAGGAAGAGGAAGAGGGGCGGGGGGTGGGATGAGATATCCCTTAAAGTTGGAATGCTAGAAAGACGATTAGCATGACCCCTGTGTAAGGATGACAGGGATAAATGGAGAGATGGTCGACATCAACAGAAAAAAAAAGAGATCGAACATACTTGTACAAATTTGAAGACTTATTTGTTCTCTCTCTCTCTCTCTCTCTCTCTCTCTCTCTCTCTCTCTCTCTCTCTCTCTCTCTCTCTCTCTCTCTCTCTCTCTCTNCTCTCTCTCTCTCTCTCTCTCTCTCTCTCTCTCTCTCTCTCTCTCTCTCTCTCTCTCTCTGTGTGTGTGTGTGACACACACACACACTCTCTCTCTTTCTCACACACATACACGCACAATCACTCACCCATCGGCCGGCACTCGACAATCACGACTTCCAACCGTTGAACATCCCTTTCCTTCGCACAACAGCTGCCCGGCGCCCGCTACCCGACGAAAAAATGACGGGAAAACACACTCGCACGACAAAAAAAAAAATTGCACCAGGCAACACCCTTTGAACCGGCACACAACAGCCCAAAAAAAACCGCCCTCCGAAACGCTTCTACCGCGCGGCGATACCCTTCGAACCGGCGCACAGCAGACCCAAAACCCCCCCTCCGATTTTGCGAAGTTCCTGTTGGGCCCGCGCCTTGCCGCCCAACTCTTTCCCAACACAGACAGACCGGCTGCGGGACAGCGTCACGCGAGACCCGCTCTTCCCTTTATAAAGAGTATAGATAATAAACAATGAGTTCAATGTTCACTGTGAGTACAATGTTCAAGTTGCTTCTCCCTCTTGTTCCTCAGGTCAGCACTCTTCCTCGCTCCCAGCTCCTTCACCGCCAAACCAGACAACGTCCTCTCCAAGCCAATCCCTCTCTAGCGCCGGCCTATCCAACTCTAGCGCGATAATGCTAGAACTCGAAATCATAATGCCGGTCCTTGAAGCACCATCATTGCCACCCTGAAGCAATGGTGACCTTCCCTTTCATCCCTTGACCTCGCTAACATAAGTGCCACACTATTTCTATACCACAAGCACAAACAGAATAAACTCTTGGAAGATGAATGCCGATCTCCCTCCTGCTACTGAGCACTTTCCAGATTAGTGCTTTCCAGGTAAGCTTCTTCTTCCCTGAAGCCTTGGACTACCTGATATCTCTCCTCTTCCCTCACTCTCTATGGTGCATCACCACCTCCAACTGGCTATGCCTACCACTCTCTCTCTCACTATAGCTATGGCAGCCTCACTCTCCAGATAAGCGCTTTCCAGATAAGCAATGCCGATCTCCCTCCTGCTGCTGAGCACTTTCCAGATCAGCGCTCTCCAGGTAAGCTTCTTCTCCGATCCATGCGGCCCAGATTACGTCGCAGCCAATGTGTGCCTAGACCCAGCAGGCCTTCGATGCTTCTGGAAACAGATTCTGAGCGTTGGATGTGTATCATTTGTGGCTGTGGTTGATTTCTGGAGACATCTTTGACTCTTGGTCTGCTATGCCCGGTAGGGCCTGACTGTTGACTTCCCTAGGGCTTAGACATGACTTCTCCAGGCTCTGGGTGACTCATTTGACCCTGACCCTAGGCCTAGGACCTGCCTAGAGGGCACAGAGATGACTTTTGACCACAGAACTTTGACAAAGCCAAGGGTTACGACCCAAAGACTTGTTCTCATGCTGCTGCTACAACATTTCCTTTTTCTTTTCGGAGTTTCGTCAATGCGCCCCCTCAAGGGTCTCCAACTAAGACGTGAACTGGAATGAAGGCCGTATTGACTGCCTCTCGAACCCCAGACCTGTTTAGGACTTCCAGTCTTCACTTAGTCATCAGAAGTGAAACGGATTTTCACCCTTGCGGTGACAGATGCAGATCCCAGGGCTCGATCCCTAGACCTCACCTTACCCGTGTACAGTATCAAGTCGTCCCCTGTGTGTGTTTGAACCCGTGATCTGTGTTTTGGTAGTTGACTGCTGCTTGTCGTAGGGCTGTGTAGCAGTAGGGGTTCGATCTGTAGATCTGTAGACTAGGGGGTCATAGTTGTGTAGAGTCCGTAGCTATAGGAACTCTGAAAGGTCAAGGTCGTAGCTGCTACAGTCCTGAAAGGTCAAGGTCCTAGCTGCTACAGTCCTGAAAGGCCAAATCCACAAACTTCCGGAAGGTCCGGAAGTGGCCTTTCAAGTTTCTTCTCACGTTATACACAGCAGACCAGAGGCAAGTGGGCAAGTGGTGAGTCCAACTTCGCTTAGTCAGCGGTACCCAGTCCCAGTCACACTTTGTACAGTCAGCAAGTACCATGAGGGACTGTGTGCACCATGGGCCCGGTGGAAAAGGGCAGACCAGCGACTTACAGAAGTATAAATCAAGAGGCAGCGTCCAGCCATTCATTCATTCCTGCCTAAGCCATGCGGAGGCGCTGCTCTAGCATCTTGTGCAAGGTGGTCTGCAGAGGCCTGAAGTCGAAGTGGGCTGAGGTGGAGTTAGTGCAGCCATAGCTGCTTGAAGTTAGTGGTAGTTGGCGGCCATAGCTCCCACAGCTAGCGATAGGTGTTAGTCAGAGTGTGCGGGCGTGTAAACGCACCCTAAAAATGAATGTATAGGAGTTATATTTCCGGCCAGATACAGCCAAAATGAGGGTGCGTTGTGTTCGGGAAAGACGGGTCCCCCTGTTCCCTGCCCTGCAGTTGTGTCGCTCTGCTGGACTTCGACGCCGCCAGCACCTGCCAACACCAGCCACCGGGCGTGACCCCGCCGGCCCCGCCGGCGCCCGCCAATGCCCGCCATCGCGGTTCCCTGCCATCGACAAGGTAAGGGACTTGGAGGGGGGAGAGAGAGAGAGAGAGAGAGTTCTTCTTCTTCTTCTTCTTCTTCTTTTCTTCTTCTTCTTCTTCTTCTTCTTCTTCTTCTTCTTCTTCTTCTTCTTCGTCACTTCTTCTTCTTCTTCTTCTTCTTCTTCTTCTTCTTCTTCTTCTTCTTCTTCTTCATCGCTTCTTCTTCTTCTTCGCACCAGTTTCGAGCCCCATTCCCCTCCCTCCCTAATCGTCAGGATCGCGCCCGATCGCTGGTCCCCCCCACCTGCCCCTATCACGCCCCTTGTGCTCCTTGCTCCCCGACTCCTTCCCCCCCGCTCTCCACACGCGCTCACCATCCCGATCACCCACCTGCGTCCTCCCGACGTCATTCTCACCCCCCCTTGGTCTCGCTTCCCGCTACCTTCCCACTCCCCCACCC